CTCGGTGCTCTCTGAACCCGATGGTTTTCTTGCAGACGTTTCATTACCCAACTAGGTAACCCCATCAGTGTTAGCAGAGAGACTATTATTGTCACAGTGAGGGATCACAATTCCAACAGGCTGGGGCTAGGGCAGACTAGAAAATAAGGACAATAGGGAAACGACAAGAACCTTTCTTTCTTATGTATATAGTTATTATGCATGGGGAATTCTTTCAAGGAGGAACATTCAAAATCATATATTTTATTTTCAGAGATGGGGCACTTTGCCCCCAATGTTGATGCATATAGTCTGAACTTGTTTGAATGCTACAGAACTTGGAACAGGGAATGTCAATTTATAAGATGTTCCTAACTATTTCATATTGCAGACAATAAATACCAAAGTGGAGCAGAGTTCATGGAACAGAGTTATAGGTAGTCCTTGACTTATGAGCACAATGGAGCCCAATATTTATGTTGCTAAGTGATAAATTTGTTAAGTGAGTTTTGCCCCATTTTATGACTTTTCTTGCCACCTTTGTTAAGTGAATCACTGCAGCTGTTAAATTGGTAACATAGTTGTTAAGTGAATCTGGCTTTCCCCATTGACTTTGTTTGTCAGAAGGTCACCAAAGGGGATCACATGACCCTGGAACACTGCAACAATCATAAATATGAACCAGTTGTCAAAGCATCTGGATGTAAACCACATGACTATGGAGATGCTGCAGTGGTTGTAAGTGTGAAAATGGTCATAAGTCACTTCTTTGCGTCATTATAACTTTGAACGGTCACCAAATGAACTGAAATTAAGGACTACCTGTACTGGGAAATCTCCTCCTCCTCCTCCTCCCCTTACTCAAAACTTTGTACAGCATTAAAAAAGTAACACTACTCTTGTTCCACACCCCAATATGTAAAATAAGGTGATGGGCTGCTGAGATAGGGACAAAATCTAATATATATATATTGCCCCATCTTAACAGCCTAATACTTCAATTTTGCTGTGTGTTAGAGGCGATCAAACCGGTCAGTCCTAGAGGAGATCAACCCTGGCTGCTCTTTAGAACAGGGCTTTTCAATCTTTTCACCCATTGTACCACTTTTAGTATATGGCAATATTCAAGTACCATTATTTGCCTAACAAGGTATCAAAAACTTGATGACCAAAAAAAGGGGGGGGGAGTGATAAAGTACAGGTAGTCCTTGACTTACAACAGTTCGCTTAATGACTGTTCGAAGTTACAATAGCACTCAAAAAAGTGCCCCCCAAGCCACAGCTGAGCAAGACACCTGCCTGGTGGCGCTTTTCCTCCTGTCCGAGGTTTTCATTGTTATGAGCATTTCTGTTGAGGATTGGCAGCGGGGGTGGGGTGGGTGTTTGGTTTTTATTCCCCCCCCCAACTGCTGGGTGGTTGCAGCAGGTTTTGGTCACTTCACATGACCCTGGGACACTGTGACCGTCATAAATATGAATCAGTTGCCAAGCATCTGAATGTAAATCACAAGACCCTGGAGATGCTGCAACATTCCAGCTGATCGACACTTCTTCTGGGCTCAGCAGAAGCACCAGGATCAGTGCCGAGCTCCAGCTGGAGCCTGGCGCCTGATCCTGGCACTTCCGCTGAGCCCTGCAGCTCCAGCCATCTCTCACTCAGGCTTGTGCGGTGCTGCCACCGGTTCAGCTCATTCCCTTCCCCCGCTACTTTTCTAGGATGCTCACGTACCACCTGCCAGGTGCCAATGTACCACAGATAGTACTCGTACCACTGGTTGAAAAGCCCGGCTTTAGGAGGCCAGAACCTGAAGTTGAAACTCAAATACTTTGGCCACCTAATGAGAAGGAAGGCCTCACTGGAGAAGAGCCTAATGCTGGGAAAGATTGAGGGGAATAGAAGAAGGGGACGACAGAGAATGAGGTGGCTGGAGGGAGTCACTGAAGCAGTAGGCATGAATTTAAATGGACTCCAAAAGATGGTAGAGGACAGGAAGGCCTGGAGGAACATTGTCCATGAGGTCACGATGGGTCGGACAAGACTTCGCAACTAACAACAAAGAGTTGTCTTTGACCATGCTGGCTTAGGGGAGTTGCCCAATGTTTTGATCATGGTATAGCTTGAGAAAATTGCTATAACCAGCTCCCTAACATTAGTAGCAAAGTCACATTCAGCTCTTGCTGACTGCACACCAAGGCACATCCATGTCATTCTCTTAGCAATCGTATAGAACGGGTAGGCTACCTTGGCTCTTTTATGACTCTTGGACTTCAACTCCCAGAATTCCTGAGCCAGCTATGCTGAGGGGAAAGGGAGACTTTCCAAGCTAAGCCATGCTGGCTCAGGAATTCTGGGAGTTGAAGTCCACGAGTCATAAAAGAGTCAAGGTTGCCTACCCCTGGTATAGAAGTTAGTGATTCATCGTGTTCCTCTGGCTTCTGAGACTACTCAGAAGACTTGGGAATTTGGGGTGCTCTCTTGTCTGCCTTGATTAACTCGACCTTGCCTCAGAGCTTCTTCAAACAGACAGTCCAGGTATCTTGATACAAGAAAGGTCATTGAATGCAAAGCTTGAGGGAGCTCTTGCATTATTAATTCAAACACAGAGATGGGTAGATACAGTTTGCCCTGTAGAGGTCAGAAAAGCTGCTCTTTCCCAAAGGTCTTTCATGCCACTGCTCAGAGGTGCAGGATCCAAGTCACCCCATTTGATTATAAAGGAACTAATGAAAAGTCCAGCTGCCAGTAGAAAACAACAAGCAACAGCTGGAAATTGTGAATTATGTCACCTTACTGAAAATGTGAATCCACAAATACATAGCTTGAAGGGAATCATAGAAACACAGTATTTATCCCAATTTCGTGTCCTAGGAATCTTTGCATTTTGGAAAAAAAACACATGTTTCAGGTGGAGTAATGAAATCAAATTCAATATGGCAATGAGTTGTTAGACTGAATAGAGTGGGATCCACTTATGGTTATATATAAACAGGAAAGTGTATATAAAAATAGGCCCCAAAAGGCAGATAATCAGATGTTTGTGCTGTTTTACACTATGACACATTTACATGTCCCTTTTCTGGAGGGGGGAAAGCTGCTTTTGAGTGAATGTTGATTCTTGGCAATTGCCTGAACTGGTTTCTGCAGTTTTTTTGGTAAGGTTTTTCAGAAGCGGTTCGTCATTGCCTCCTATCTATGGCCGAGTGAGGGTGACTGGTCCAAGGTTACCCAGATGGCTTCAGGCCTAAGACAGGGTTAGAACTCAACAGCCTCTTAGTTTCTTGCCTGGTGCCTTAACGACTACAGCAAAGTGGCTTTCTTCTGTCATTGCAAAGTTATATTAGTCCTGGCTTCCCCTGGCTTATGCTCTGCTAATGAAAGTAACCAAGAACTCAAGACTTAGGACACGTGGACACACACACACACACACACACACTTTTCCAACAACAACTTTATGAGGTGGGTTGGGTTGAGAGTGATTGGCCCAAGGTCACCCAGCTAGCTTTCATGGCTAAGGTAGAACTTGAACTCATTGTCTCCTGCTTTCCAGCCTGGAATTTATAAGTCAGCACGATGTTTCGGTGATGTAGATCAGGGATGTCAAACTGCCGGCCTGCAGGCCGGTTGCATCATGCGGAGGCTGGGCTCGCCCTCTGGCAATGCGAAAAAAGTCACGATACGTCACGTCACCTCACATGATGCGGCGAGTTTGACACCCCTGGTATAGATGATATGACAATGGTGGCAAACCTATGGCACGCATGCCAGAGGCGGCACTCGGAGCTCTCTCTGTGGGCACATGTGTCATTGCCCCAGCCTTGCCTTCCCCCAAGACCTCCTCCTCAGTAGCAGCCCCCCTGGAGGAGAGTCGCCACCGAGTGTGGCCCACACAGAACAGTGCAGCCAAGGACATGGCAGCCAGGCAGCATAGACAAAACTCTACCCTCACACCCCATCCCGCACAGTTGATGCTGCGGGGCGTGGGCAGAGGGCGTAATCGCCATGGCACTGCTGGGCTGCCTGGGTGATATGCAGCGGGCCCTGGAGGCGGTGAGTGGCCCTGCAGGCAGGCAGGGTTGGGGGCAGAGTGGGGGCGGGGCAGGGAGTAGAGCGAGGATGGGGCCAGTTTTGGGCACTCGGTCTCTAAAAGGTTCGCCATCACTGTGATACGACATGCAAAAAATTGGACTTCAGATCTTCATAATATCCTTCTGAGTTCTGGTATCAAGTTTTCTAGCCTTTTTCATCATCACACCCTTCTTATTGTAGTCATCAGTGTCACTTCTGAAACAGCTGAGATATGTTGCACAGTTTTCCCAGAATAAGCATTTTATTAACCCTGAGATGAAATTGAGTTGATTCAAGTTAAGTTTAAAAACATTTTGCCTCAGTTACTTCACTGTGACAGAACTTGACAGGGAGTGTTATGATTCATTTGGGGTTTTCCTTTCCTTGCAGAGAGAACAGATTCAATTTGCAAGGGAATAAAAAGCATTCTGGTTGACCCTGAAAAAAATTATGAATCCCGCTTTTTAAATGTGTCAGATTTAAATAAGGAGGCTGCTAAACCTATTCACAGGGATGTGTCAAAAAGGCCCAGATTGAAACAGAATACAGAATAACAGAATTGGAAGGGATCTTGGAGGTCTTCTAGTCCAACCCCCTGCTCAAGCAGGAGACCCTATACTATTTCAGACAAGTGGCTTACCAGCCTTTTCTTAAAACCTCCAGTGATGAAGTAACCACAACTTCTAAGGGAAGCCGTTCCACTGATTGATTGTTCTGTCAGGAGATTTCTTCTTAGTTCTAGATTGCTTCTCTCCTTGATTAGTTTCCATCCATTGCTGCTAGTTATTTACTAATGAAGGAAAATATTGCTGTGTATGCTCTTAAGCTGTCTCATTTGTGGGATCCATCTGATCTAAGCCTTAATGTGAAATAATCCTGAGCACAAGTCTAGTGATGGACTCAAAATTTAATTTTTCCCCCTTTCTTTTTTCTATTGCTCTCTTTCTCCTGGCAGAGACCATTCGCACAGCCACCCCCTTTCCCATGGTCAGCCTCTTCCTCGTCTTCACAGCCTTTGTCATTAGCAATATTGGACATATCCGCCCACAAAGAACCATCCTGGCTTTCGTTTCAGGCATCTTCTTCATCCTCTCTGGTAAGAATTCAGAAGCTGGGGCTGTCCTACTAAAGGAGATTGATCTGCAAGCTCTGGGCTGGCTGTAACAGCAGGGACAGTTCTGGGTTGAAGACCGAGGGTGGAAATTTGCAATGTGAAGAGAGGAAGGTCTAGTGCTGTGTTTTCCAGCCTTGGGAACTTTAAGAAGGGTGGACTTCAACTCCCAGCATGGCTGGCTGGAGAATTCTGGGAATTGAAGTCCACACATCTTAAAGAATCATAGGACTGGAAAGGACCTTGGAGGTCTTCTAGTCCAAGTCCCTGCCCAAGGTTTTTGTTGTTAATTGCGAAGTCGTGTCCGACCCATCGCAACTCCATGGACAACGTTCCTCCAGATCTTCCTGTCCTCTACCATCTTCTGGAGTCCATTTAAGTTCACGCCTACTGCTTCAGTGACTCCATCCAGCCACCTCATTCTCTGTCGTCATGGAGACTTTATATCATCCTGGACCTTTTCTTGAAAATCTCCAGGTGATGGAGCACCCACAATTTCCAGAGGCAAGCTGATTTATTGACAGTTGTTCTCCATGTCAGGAAATTTCTCTTTAGTTCCAGATTGGATCTCCTTCTGAAGAGTTTTCAGCCATCTTAAAAGGCCCCAAGATTGAGAAACTATTGCAGGGGTCTCCAAATTTGGGAACTTTAAGACTTGTGGACTTCAACTCCCAGAATTCCTCAGTCAGCATGTCACAAATCTTAAAGTTATCAAGTTTGGAGACCCCTGATCTAGTGAAACTGGGTTTAGAATAGATGACATCAAGGAGGTTTTAACAGCACAAAGCAAAACGGTTACGATCAATAAGGCTGTCAGACCCAAGACAGATACAAATACAGAGGTCAATAACTTACATTTTAAATAAAAAAAATGGGGTGGTAAAAGAGAGGACAGAGACTTTAAATTCTGCCCTAAAGCTACTCTAAATGTTTAGATTTGAACAGAAAAAATAGTATGCTAATTTGGTAAATGAATGAATGTTGATGGATAGTATCCAGATTTGCCTTTTAATTAATGGAAAAGGATTAGGAAATATTTTCCTCTGTACCCTTCCCATGTGCTCTTAAACTTCGCTCCAAAGCCCCATAGGAGTGGGGAGTATAGGGTCTGCAAAACAGGATAGAAAATCTGTGAAAATCATGCCCTTTGTCATGTTAACTGAGGCGTCTAGGAGTTCAAAAGACTCTACAAGCAGCCCTCACTTAATGACTGCCCTGTGTAGTGACCGTTCAAAGATATGACAGTGCTGGAAAAGTAACTTCATGCTTGCAACGGTCATAGCATCCCTGTGATCACATGACTGAGATTTGGGTGCTTAGCAACCACTGGGTTTACCACCATCACAGTGTCCTGCAGTCACATGATCGCCATTTATGCAGTTCACAGCTGGTTCCCGATAGGCAAGGTCAATGGTGAACCTGGCAGTAAAATAACAAGTTGTGGTCATGTAATGTCTCACTTAACAACCCTGGTGAAAGTGAGGTTATAAATTCATTGTGGTCACAGAATGTCTTGCTGAACATTCATGCTATTTAGCAAGGCAGATTCCACTGGTGATCGTTCGGTGAGAACTACCAGTATTTGTGGAAATGCAAGATTTTAGGACTAAGAGCCTCTGGTGTGTATTGTATGTTTGGTAGTAGGAAATATGCTTTTTTTCATGGTCATCACCCAAAAGTTCATTGTTCATTCTGTTTCAAACTCTGCTGCTTTGGGTGAAATAAATCTGAGTTGTGGCACTGCTGTGGGTAAAGATATTGGCTCATGGGCTTAGGCCTTTTTTCAGAACTTGGCCCATTGGGTTGGTGGAGATGGTAGAAGAAGAGGTTCTTTACTCACCGAGTATCCTGTCTTAAAGACCTGAATAAACTTGCACTGCTGACAATTGATTAATGCAAGGGAAGAGTGCCCAATCCATCTCTTGCTCGCTTATTCTCTGCTGCTTCCCAGCCCAGCAAACCCCTTCCAACTGTCAGCTCTTGGTTCAGGCTGACGTTGAATATGAGTTTAGTGCTTATCTAAAAGAGCATAAACCTGTATTCAGAAGCACCCTGACCAGTCATTGTCAGGCACAGGGATGGGATAGGGATGTTCAATTCCTCTCTGCCACCTAGAGACCAATTGTTGTTCAAGCTGGTCTAAGTCTCCAGAGGGCATCCTACAGAGGGGAGAGACCCCACTGAAAGGACAGGGCTTTCCCACCGTTCCAAGTGGAATTTCCTAGATGACAGTGCCTAGAGCCCCAGATGTTGGAATTAGCCCAGCACCAATGGGCCAATTCAGGTGGGCACCAGTTCATCCCTTCTCATTTCCTCCACTCCTTGGTCATATTGATTCCTCATACAATTTTGCAGGAATTGCAGTCATCGGGAGGAGGAAAAGGAGAGAGAGAAGAAAATGGCTACCATTTTCTTTTAGGATAGTTAGAACTGCAGACAAAACAATTGCAATCAGCTTGCCTTCCATAGAAGGCCTGTATATTGCATGGGTGAGGGCTGAGAAGATATGTACAGACCCCTCACATCCCTGGACATGAAGTGTTTCAACTCCTCTCCTCAGGATGATGCTATAGGGTGCATTGCATGCTAAAACAACTTGACACAGGGACAGTTTTTTCCCCTCATGCCACTGAACACCTTAATCCTCACAGTATTTTTTTTTATGTCTAAGTATATTTACCCATGTTATATAGCTGTGAAAGAGACAAGAAATGCCCTTGATTTTCAGTGGCTCATTGGGCAGTTTTTGAGAACAGCATCCAACCTACAGTTTGGGAGCACCATTGTGATCCAGAGCAAAGGTTCTCCTCATTGAGAGGAATATAACAGTGGGAATGGGATGGGGGGGAGCATTATCTGCCCAGGGGCAAACTTCCCACAAAGCTAAACATGGTTGGCTAAGGAACAGTTGCAGAGATTGGACCACAATTCAACCCCAAATGAAGCTTCTACAAACCACCATCCTTAGACTTACCTGGAAGTTGGTAGAAATGAGATAACATCCCTTTTGCCTGGTCTTCTTCTCCCAATCCCAACCTTTGTCTTCTCTGCTCTTCTTCAGGGCTGTCCCTGGTGGTGGGCCTGGTCCTGTACATCTCCAGCATCAATGACGAAGTGATGAACCGTCCCAGTGGCTCGGAGCAGTATTTCCAGTATCGCTATGGATGGTCCTTCGCATTTGCTGCCTCCTCTTTCTTACTCAAAGAGGTACAGAAGAGAATCCACAACCCCTCAATTCCAGCAGGCACCACTCATTGTTCATATCTTACTGCTGAGTCAAAATGCTATTGGTTTGGGCTTAGTGGACACAATGAACTATGTGTTAGGCCACTTGCCGTTGTGACATAATATTTCCTAAAGCCCCCGCCTGGCCCACTTTAGTTTGTCCACATTGTCGTTATATCAGCCCACTTCTTGGATATTCTGCGAGTTACAAGAGAGGAAAAGGTTTCGGCTGTCAAAGTGTGATTTTAAAAATCATAGCTCACTGCGTTGTGTGAATCCGGTGTGCCTCAAATAGCATTTTCCAGGCTTAGGGTCGGAGCAGAAGGAATTGCTTGCCTCCTTCACCAGATGGCTGGAAAAGCCTCGTGTGGTGTAGCTGCCAGCAATCTCCACATTAAAACAGCAACAAGAAGGATTTCTGAACAATGCTGGACAGCATTTCAGAATCTGACCCATGGACTGTGAGATGAACAACAGTGTCTTGAGTCACTCCCACCTCAGTCACTTTGAGGCTAACAATAGGTCCCCAAGCAAGTCTTTGTTTGCATCACACCACTGCATTGTTGTTTCTCTTCTGGCTTGTAGAGCACAACATAACAGACTCTGTTACCCCTCTGGTTTATTTCAGGCAAATTTGTAGCTTCCTGGACCCAACAGTGGGTGGTTTGTGATGGGATGAAAGAGTTCCTGTCTACTGGGCCTGCCATCCTCAGCTTTTTGTTGTTGTTGTTGTTTTCATTGTTATTGTTGTTATTCTGGCCATTCCTTCTAACAGAAATTGTAGCCATGAAGACACCTCGGTTTACCACCAGTTGCTTAGTGACCATGTGAAGTTACAACGCACCATCCCTGGTTCTGAAGTTCCGACAACCACTTCCCCTGAAGTCATGTGACAACATTTACAGTCATTTGCAGCGTCCCATGGTCACCTGACCTCATTTTATGATGTTTTTGCCAAAAATCTGAACATTTACTTCTGTTTTTTCAGTGAAACTAGTACATAGGAGCCATAGTTTTGCTTAATGACTGTGATGTTCACTTAATCACCACAAAAAAAGATTGCAAAATCGGGTTGGTCACACGGATGGCCTGTTTTTAAGACTGTCATGACTTTCAGTCACGATGGGCAGGCTCCATTATGGTTGTAATTTGAGGACTACCTGTATGCATAGCTATTTTACATAGCTACCAGGACATCTTTAAATATTCTTTTTTCTTTTTTCCACATCTCCCAGAAACAGAAAATCTTGGTGTCTTGCAAGCATGTATATCTTTATTTTTAGTTGCTGACTTTTTTTTTACAACAAAATACCTGTATATTGCTGACTACAAAATTTACACAAACATTATCACAACTACACTTAAACAGTGTTTTAGTTCTTCTTCTGCTCCCATAGGTCCCCTCAAGCAATTTTTTTGAAGATGTTAGTTTTGTTGCCTTCCTGTTATGATCAAGCAAAGAGACCAGTGAGTCCAAACTGTATTTTTCCTTTGATATTGAAATCTTGTAAGTAGATTGCCCAATTCTGCTCAGGGAAAGAAAAATATTTTAAATCCTAAACCTTGACAAGTGCACAGTGGCTGGAGAGAGGGTAATTTTTAAAACTGCAATGTTTATGGCTGCCTATCTCACACAGTGGCTTATAACAGACAATACAGGTAATGCTTGATTTCTTGCCACAGCTGAGCTCCAAATTTCTATTGCCAAGCAAGACAGTTGTTAAGTAAGTTTTGCCCCATTTTACCACCTTCCTTGCCACAGTTGCTAAGTGAATTGCTGCAGTTGTTAAGTTCGTGACCCAGGTTGTTAAGTGAATTTGGCTGCCCCATTGCCTTTCCTGTCAGAAAGTCACAAAAGCTAATCACGTGACCCTGGGATGCTACAACCATCATAAATATGAACCAGTTGCCCAGCATCTAAATTTTGATATCGTGACCCTGCGGATACTGCAATGGTTATTAAGTGTGAAAAACGGTCAGGTCCTTTTTTTCAGTGCGATTGTAACTTTGAACAGCCACTAAATGAGTGGCCGCAAGTCGAGAACTATCTACAAAAACAACAAAGTAAAACTAAAACAAACACTAGCTTGGACTAACATAGGGGCCTTCAAACTTGGCCCTTTTATGACTTGTGGACTTCAACTCCCAGAATTCTTCAGCCAGGCACACTGTATATCCCCTTTGCAGAAAATAATATGGTTCGTTATATCCTGATTTCTGTGTGCCCTGTTCTTCTTTTTCAGAAAAAGAGTAGCAGAGATAGCCCTCAACTTATGACTAGTCATGTAGTGATTGATCACAGTTACAACAGACCTCCCGGAGGAGGGAGTTACTTATGATCTGGTTCTGAAGTTCCCACGACTGCCCATCCAGTGGTGGGATTCAGATATGTGAGCAACCGGTTCTCTGTGTGGATGCCGCTTCTGGAAGTCCATTCTGGGCCTGGGCAACAAAAAACTAGCTACTGGTTCTGCCAAAGTGGTGCGAACCGGCTGAATCCCACTTTGTCCATCCCTCCGTGATCACGTGAGACTGCGTGTTGGTACTCCACCACCGGCCCACATTTATGGCCACTCATAGCATCCCATGGTCACGTGACCATGTTTTGCAATGTTGCTGCCCGAAACTGGCATGTACTTCTCGCTTTCATCAAAACTGGCCCATGGAAAACCATTGGTTCCGTTAACAACTGCAGTGTTCGCTTAAGGATTGCCACAGAAAAGGTCATAAAATTGGGTTGGTCACATGGGTATTCCCTTTTACGACCATCATGACTTACAAACATGATGGGCAGACTCCATTGCAGTCCCAAACTGAGGACTATTTGTAATCCTCTACAAAGACAAGAGATCCAAGAACCAAGGCCAGGTTGACGTCCATTTGTTGGTTTTATTGCACTAATCTTGCAAGACTCTTTGGGCAAACAATGTCCTTATATTGTCCCCACCCGTTATGTCATGGTTAGCTGTACCCATCTTAACAGTAATTTCCCTTTTGTTCCAAAATGATCCATTGGGTCATCCCTTCAAAGTATTTCCTTACCTAAATAAAAATACAGAATGACCATAGGCAGGCAAAGTAACAATGGGAGCAAGAACGACCTCTGACTTCCTGCTGGCTTCCCCATTGAGGGAAGGGGAGCTAGAGAGCATTGGAAATAATGATCACACAATTTCTTTTTCTACCTTCTCTTTCCTTTCCCCCTTTTTTCTCTGCATTTTTTTTATTTTGCAGTTGCATAATCTAATCTTTAATAAAATTATTAGGGGGGGAAATAAATCACAATCACATGACCACAACTAATCACAGCGATGCTGTGGCAGCTTTAACTTTGTGAATATATCCTGACAAAGACAGTAATAGAAGGGAAATTGGAGGTCTTCTAGTCTAGGGGTCCCCCACCCCCAGGCCGTGGAGCCGTACCGGGCCACGGCATGCCAGCAATTGGTCCACACAAACAAGAAAAGTCCCATCCGTGGATGCAGGCAGCATTCAAAACCACGCCCCCTCTGGTCCGCGGAAAAACCTCCATGGAACCGGTCCCTGGTGCCCAAAAGATTGGGGAACTCTGTTCTAGTCCAACCCCCTGCTCAGGCAGGAAACCCCATACCATTTCAGACAAATGGCTGTCCAATCTCTTCTTAAAAACTTCCAGTGTTGGAGCATTCACAACTTCTGGAGGGAAGTCGTTCCACTGATTAATTCTTCTAACTATCAGGAAATTTCTCCTTATTTTTAGATTGCTTCTCTTCTTGATTAGTTTCCATCTGTTGCTTCTTGTTCTGTCCTCAGGTACTTTGGAGAATAGCTTGACTCCCTCTTCTTTATGGCAGCCCCTTGAATATTGGAAAACTACTATTATGTCACCCCTCTTCCTTCTTTTCATTAAATTAGATAGACCAGGGGTAGGCAACCTTGGCTCTTTTATGACTTGTGGACCGCAACTCCCAGAATTCCTGAGCCAGCTATGCTGAGGGGAAAGGGAGAGATTTCCCAGCTGAGCCATGCTGGCTCAGGAATTCTGGGAGTTGAAGTCCACGAGTCATAAAAGAGCCAAGGTTGCCAACCCCTGAACTAGACAAACCCAATTCCAGCAACCGTTCTTTATATCTTTAGCCTCCAGTCCCCTAAATAGTGTGAAAATCTTTGAAATTTTAATTATATGGGAGCAATGGGTCTTGGATTTTGTATGGATTCTTTAAGTTAGCAGATTTGAGGTACCCTAATTCAAAAATGTTTGCACTATGTTGCATCGTTCAGACTAATTGAACGTTACGGACAAACTAACAGGAGAATTTTAACAATCTATAGGTGGTCTTCAACTTATGACCACAAATGACCTCAAAATTTCTGTTGCTAAGCAAGATAGATGTTAAGTGAGTTCCCCCCACCACATTTTATGACCTTTCTAACCGTTTCTAAGTGACTCTGGCTTCCCCATTGACTTTGCTTGTCAGAAGGTCACAAACGGTGATCACATGATTTTGGGAGACTGCAATCATCATAAATATGAGTCAATTGCCAAGCATGTGAATTTCGATCACATGATCATGGGGATCCTGCAATGGTCATATGTGTGAAAAATGATCAAAAGTCATTTTTTTCAGTGTTGTTGTAACTTTGAATGGTCACTAAATGAATTGTTAAATCGAGGACCTGGGAAAGGCAGATAACTGTTCATTTAGTGGCTGTTCAAAGTTACAGCAGCATTGAAAAAAAATAACTTATGACCAGTCGTCACACTTACAACCATCATAGCATCCCCCCAGTCGCATGATCAAAATGCAGGTGCCTGGCAAACCACATGCATTTATGATGGGTTCAGCATCCTAAGGTCACATGATCACCATTTGCGACCTTCCCAGTCACTTCAAACAAGGAAAGTCAACAGGGGAAGCCAAGTTCGTTTAACAACTATGTGATTCACTTAACAGCTGTGACAAAAAAAGTCATGAAATCAGGTGTGACTCACTTAACAGAAATGTTGTTTAGCAATGGAAATTCTGGTCCCAATTGTGGTTGTTAAGTCAAGGATTATCTATGCAAAGAAAGTTATACACACATACGCCGTGATATCCCCATAGAATGTAAAGTTTGCAATAGTGGCAAATATCTATAGCTCAGGTTTAGGATGAGGGTGAAGGTTTGTTCTCCCAGCTTGTGGGTTGGTTTCCAGACATTTTGTTACCAGGTTAGGTAACATCTTCAGTGGAGTTTAGGGGATGTCAGTGTCAGTGCTCCTCTGTTTATAAGGGCTTTGTGTGGTTAGTGAGTGTTGTGATGGGTCAGGTCTGGATGTGTCAAGTGAGGGACTTGTGATGGGTCAAGTGAGAGTGTGTCAAGTGAGGGTCTTGTAATGGGTCTTGTGATGGGTCAGGTGTGGGTGTGTCAAGTGAGGGTCTTGTGATGAGTCAGGTGTGGGTGTGTCAAATGGGGGTCTTGTGATGAGTCAGGTGTGGATGTATCAAGTGAGGGACTTGTGATGGGTCGTGATGGGTCAAGTGAGGGACTTGTGATGGATCAGGTGTGGGTGTGTCAAACGAGGATCTTGTGATTGGGGTCACCTGTGGGTATGTCAAATGAGGGTCTTGTGATGGGGAGGTTACATTATGTGAAGGTCATTGGGAAGTGAAGTACTGGTGGGGGGGAGCTTATGTGAGTTGGTTGGAGGTCAGTACTGTCTCTGGTTGGCTGTGTGATTGATTTGGATTCTGAGGCTGGATGTAGGTTGATGTGTCTGTTGATGGAATTGCTTGTGGAATGCCAGGCTTCAATGAACTCAGTGACACTGACATCCCCTGAACTGCTGAAGATGTTACTTAGCCTGTAGGGAAACTTTTGGAAACCAATCTACAAGCTTGGAGAATGAACTTTCACCCTCAGAATGTAAAGTTCACAACTACAGTGAAAACTATTTTTCATTGTGTTTTATTCCCCATAATAGCTTTCCCATCTGGAAGGTGTCCTATTCAAAGTTCCTAATATTGGTGAAGCCTATCTGGTAATGTGACTTGGATGATGGCTGATCATCGGTCTCTGTCCTAATCTCAACCCTTCCTTCTGTCACTGCTCTGCAGGGTGCCGGTGTGATGTCTGTCTACCTCTTCACCAAACGTTATGCCGAAGAGGAAATGTATCGCCCACACCCGGCCTTCTACCGTCCGCGCCTGAGCGACTGTTCTGACTACTCGGGTCAGTTCTTGCACCCTGAAGTGTGGCACCGTGGACGCAGTCCCTCTGACATCTCCAGTGATGTTTCCATCCAGATGACTCAGAACTACCCACCAGCCATCAAGTATCCTGAACATATGCACATATCAACATCACCTTGCTAGACCTGCCATAGAACATGGTGGACAAGGAGCCTGGCCTTTGCTTGTAGACTATGTTCTCCAATCTCTCCAGCTCCCCCTGAGGCTGCCCTACTAATGGGGACCTCTTTCCTCCTTTGAAGACCTTCTACAACCTGCTTTGCTATAAATGCCATCTCTGTCTGTCTCTCTTTCTCTCTGTCTCTCTCTCTCTCTCTTTCCCTTTTTCCCATTTCCTCCTTCTCCAGCTAGTGGGAGTCTTCCAAGCCACCTATGGAATTGCTGATGCTCCTGTTGGAAAACTGTTTTCAGTTCTGGCTTCTTCCAGGAAGCTGCAGCATCCAACGGAAAATTCTTCCTCACCCTTTTCTACCTTCCTGACCCTCCACAGACCAGTGGAAGAAGCGGCACGAAGGAACATGTTTTCCACTTCTGGGGATGCGGCCTCAAATGTTTTCTCCTTTCACTCAGTTGGAATCGCTACCAAGAAACAGCTCACCAAGCATGCTTCCCTCAATGTTCTCCCCCAAGATTTGACAAAAATTGGGTTGCGAAACCATCTCTACTTTTTTCAGATCTCGAGAGGAAGAACTACCAACTGCTGTTTTTTTTAATCAATTCCTGATCGGAGAGGTTCAGTGTCCCCACCTTATCAAACAGCACATAACGGCTTTACTGTTATTGGCACCGTATTTAGTTTTCTGACAGGAAATGGCATCTTATTTTATTTTCCTCCATATCCAAAAAGCCTAATTTCTCCAGCTTTATGCACCTGCAAACAGTAATCTTTCCACGTGTTTTAGATATATATATATATAGGGATACCATATTAGTTTGTCTTAGAATGGCCTGGTCCAAGGAAACATCTTGCTGGGGTTTTTTCCACTGCAAGTAGTCCTCAACTTATGACTGCAACTGAGACCAGAATTTCCTTGCTAAGCAAGTGGTTGTTAAGTGACTCAGCCTGATTTTATGACTTTTTTTGCCATGGTTGTTAAATGAATCACTGCAGTTGTTTAGCGACTCACCCAGTCCTTAAGTGATTTGGTCTTTCCCTATGAACTTTGCTTCTAGGAAGCTGGCTGGGAAGGTCACAAAATGGTGGCCACATGACCCCCAGGGATGCTGCAACGGTGGAAAAGAGATGTCGGTTGCCAAGCACCTGAATTTTGATCATGTGACCATGCCACAAAAGTTGTAAGAGTAAGGACTGGCTGTAAGTCACTTTTTCCAGTGCTTGTAACTTCAAACAGTGGCTAAACAAAGGGTTGCAAGTCGAGGATTAACTGTATTCTGGAATGAAACAAGCTCTGAGGTTGTTGCTAGATGGATCTAGCTCTGGGAAAAAAACAGTTTCCCTAAGTTTTTTCCCAATACTTTTTCATCTACAAATGAATTGTAGTTGGAAGCTACATACCTCCCACCTCTGTAGTTTTCTGTATCTTAAATTCAGTTCTTGCTCCTTCATTCTCATCTTCTAGATGGGGGTGTCCAACCTTGACAACTTTAAGACCTGTGGACTTCAACTCCCAGAATTCTGGGAGTTATCCATGAATTTTAAAGTTGCAAAGGTTGGACATCCCTGTCTAGATTCTAACAACCAATGACTAGGCCACTTTTTTATACAGTCAACCAACCCAAGTTTTTGATATTGCTTCCAAGCCTATTCCTGAAACCTTTGAAATAATGGGGCATCATCCTGACAGGCTAATAGATGGATCCTATCAGGAGTATTTTTCCTGCAATCTCTGTTCTAGCTAACATCTAAAACTGCTCCAAAGCTTTGCATACCATTTGCCTTTTTGTTGACTCAACTTCCTGGCTGTTTCTCCATTTTCTTCAGTATTAACGCAGAACCGACTCTACAGGTTGTTCTTCAAGAGACCTTTTTGAAGGCATTTTCATTCGGACCCCCCATCAATAAGAACATCTAATATATCATTACAAAGGGGTGAGGAACTAACAGTGTCTTCCAGCCATCAATGCCTCAAATGCCACCTCCATTTTAAGCGTCCTGGCCTTGTGGGCCACAGATCGAAGTTTCTTATAACGCAAGACTCTCTTCAGCAAGGTGAAAACCACATTAAAAAAAAAAAAGAATCACAAACAGAAAACCCACACCCACAGAGAAAGAATTTAGTAATTTCTCCTTTTTATTTCAGGCATCATTCATTTTTGGTTTGCCCAATTTATCTGTGCCATGGCTGCTGCTTTACTGCCTTCTCCGTTTTAGTTTCTTCTTAAAATTATTTATATTTTTGGGGTGTCTGCTCCTTCGCTCTTAATTTTAAATTAACCCCATTTTCATCTTCCTTCCTTTTAATTGTCTTCAACTTTCAATTCCTTACAGATTGTATTGCTGGCGCAGACATCTATAAGCATTCCAGAGGCTCATGTTTTCCTTTGTCTGATCTAATTTATTTTTTGTAATATTCCATTGTTTTAATATATATCCATTATCATTTTAAACACACACACACACACACACACACACACACACACACCTCTTTCCCTGTTCCTCTTTTCTCTCTTCAGTTACTCCTTTCTAGCTCCTGTCTGTGGACTGTTGAGCCAAGAAGAACCAAGTATTGAAAAGTGCAGTGAAATTTGGAAGAAAATACTATGATAAGCAAGCTTGCCATTAGAATTGCTGGATAAAAAAGGGAGGGAAAGAAAAATAGAGTGCATTTGGTGGAAAAGTGAAGGCAAAACGAGTAAGAGAAAAAGATGTGAGGAATCTTGGTAGGTGTAAGAGGGGCTATTTTTATGGAAATACAAAATGCTTTTGATGCTAATGAAATACAGGTAGTCCTCGAATTATAACCACACGGAGGCCAAAACTTCCGATGCCAAGCAAGACAGTTGTTAAGTTTTCCCCATTTTACAACCTTCCTTGCCATAGTTGTTAAGTGAATCACTGCAGTTGTTAAGTTGGTGCCATGGTTGTTAAGTGAATCTAGCTTCCCCCAGTGACTTTGCTTGAATTCTGATCACAGAATTGCAGTGGTCGCAACTGTGAAAAATGGTCATAAGTCACTTTTCTTCAATGTCGTAACTTTGAACGGTCACTAAAAAGAATGGTTGTAAGTCGAGGACTACCTGTCCTTCATCTCCACCTCATGCGTCCATCTTGTGTAGGCCAATAGGATGCCATTTTTCCTTAGTGATTTTTTTTGTTTCTCCAGCCTATTTTCCTGTCCCACAGTACAAGCAAGGGGGGGGGGCGGGAATTGTTCCATTTTCTTTACAAGGAATGAGAAAGGAACATGGTCTTATTGGATTAAGTGGCTCATCCATACCTATTTTGCAAAAGAAATTCCCAAATACAGAAGTTTTCCCCTTTATTTGCAATGCAGCCTCCTTGGGAGAAGCAAAGGCCATCCTGCTCCTTTTTACCCAGTATGAAGCGATGGCAATCACCTGCATTAGAAGGCTATTGAGCAAACCAACGGGCCATGTGTGCAGACACCGTAGAAGTAGGAAGAACTGGCAAATCATAAGGATTGGTGAAGGATAAAGAACATCAGATTCCTCTGAATGGATTTCAAAAAGGAGAGGAAGGAAAAAAAATGCTGCAGATTCAGATTTGGCACACAAACAGCCTTCTGAATCTCTCTCCCCCCCCCCCCCAGGCATGTCTCATCCTGCTGCTGTGTCAGCATCAACTGCAGCTCATTTCACCTTCAGGTAGTGTGTTGGAGATCACAATCCAGCACAAGATCTATTTCGTGCACTTGCTTTTTCCTTGTCCTCTCTCAAGGGCATCTCTGCAGGTCTTCTTATTTGCCATTTCCTTCTTCATCCCAGCCTCGTAGCTTATTCAAAGGAAAGAAGGAGTTGCTAAACTTGCTCTGTTGCAATATATAAAAAGAACGATTTCCTCTCATGCTTCCCACAACAATTCTGACAAGTAGGCTGGGCAGAGAGACGGTGATCGACCCAAAGTCAACCATTGAATTTCCATGGCTGTATATAGTGACACTATAATACATTCTAATCTTGGGTTGGGGTTGGGTGGGGGAACGGGACTGGAATATGAATTATGGAAACATCTGCCCTCTAGGAGGCGCTGTGAATGAATGGGAACTCTACAAATTACTCTTTGCCCTGAATTAAGTTTCCAGTCCTTTTGATCTCATAGCTCTAAGAAAACATTACTGTGATAGATATATAGTAATATTGATTTCTGCTTGCTATTTAAAGGCTGCTTTTTTTCAGAAGAAGGACCGTGGCATAGATAAGAGGAGCAAACCACTGTAAACTTTGCATGGCAGAGTCTGAAGGTTTTTGGGTATGTTCTCCAGATTTTGTGTGGCTACGGTCAGGATCACTTCTCCTAAGCAGACCCATTCTGTTTTTATTTGTCTTGAACATTCTCCTTAAGCCAGTCCATACAACCCCCATGAGTGCAAAATATTCTTTCACAACTGAGAATAAATCTATATTGTTCTAGAGGTTCACAAGAGGCATTCAGGTGGGATCATCTCTTGATTGGTAAGCAGGAATAATGAAAGGGAAGACAAGACCATAGATTTTCCAAATTTTTGTTCATCACCTGGAAAACTCTTCATCCTGGGCCAGTGGTTTTCCTTTTGGAACACAACATCTGGCCTTGGTGAAGCTGTGATTGGACAACTAGGAAAATCCTGATCATAGCCAAACATTCATAGAAACTGTAAAGTAGGAGTCCCCAGCCCCTGGGCTTCAGCCCCAACCCCTGGGCCATGCAAGTGGTGAGTGAGTGTGTGTGTCTGTGCATGCAGCTCTATTTGCATGAGTGATGGCTGCTTGCATTCGTGCACAACTCCATTTGCATGAGTAGTAGCTGCATGCACCCACTGCTCATGCAAATGGAGTTGTGTGCACTCATGCGAGTGCCTGCTGCTTGCACAGAACTGTCCCCTCTCTCCCCCCGCCAAGCCTGAAAGGTTGGGGACCGCGGCCATAGGGAATCTGTAGATGTAAGAACTTTCCAGCAGACATGTTAGCAAGTAATCAAACACCGAGTAACATTGCTGTGGGATTAAAGTGGTTTTACCATTCAGTCCTATGCATATTTACTCAGACATTACTCAGCTACAGAAAGCTAAAAAGAATTTCTTGTTCTTAAGTAGGGCTTAAGTGAATTTAGTCACAGATATCTAAAGCCCCAGCCAGTGAACCTGCTGGAATCCTATGACAGCATATTCAATCATGCTTTTTTAGAAAACAACTCTTCTAAATAAATAAGCATATATTCTTTATTTTATATGTTTTTAATGGATGTCTATGAAAATATTCATTGATGTCATATTTATTTAGGATTGCAGTCTCGTTTATGATAAGGAAATTTTTAGGAAAAAGGTTTATTGCTTGTATCTCCTTGAAAATTATTAAAGACTCAGAATATTCAAATTAAAAAAAAGGCAATGTTTATATCACCAGACCAATTCCAAAATACACGTAACAGCCATAAGCTCACAGAATGACAGACGAGAGCTTTGAATGCAGGAATTGTGTTTTTATAGGGAAAAATATATCATATTCTGATTGTTTACACAGAAATAAATCCCACTAAAGTGGGCAGCTGTGTCGTGTAGTAATCAGGTGTGTAGAATCTCGCAGCTTTGTATACGCTTGCTAACACATGGAAGATTAAGGAATACAGGCTGTGAATGAAAATTCACACCCACAAGCAAGTGCAAAGATGCTGTGAAAAATAAAAAGAGTGCCCACTGGTTTCTTCCCACGTTTTTCTAACTGGTCGTTTGTGGGAAGGTCATCCTTTTGTGTCCCGTGGCTGATGGGCAAGAGGTACGCTTCCAGCTGATTCCTGCCTCTGAAATACAGCAACAAAATTGACAAATCAACATTGCAATCTTGGCTGTCAGGAATCCCTTTGAGAGATGGGTCCAAGCACATTCAATTAAAGCAGTGGTTTATTTTCTCAGGCTTCTGTCCCATTCCACACACACATCCCAAACCACCCAAAACCAGGAGCCCTTCATAGCATCGTTTCCAATTAATGTGTTGCATTAAAAGGCATATGTTTTCGGGAGCTTCTGATCAGCGACTAAGCATGGCTCTTCTCCTACAGGGTTGGCACAAAATTCAGGGATTGCTGAGACAGCTTAAAGGAGGGAGGCTTTGGAAAGAGAAAGCTTTTAGCAGCTCTGGATGTAAGGCACTGAAAAATAAGGAAGGTGGGAAATCAGAAGGAACAGTAGGAAGGAGACGGGTCATTAAGCAAAGTGACTGCAATATAAGTCTTGCCTGCAAGTCCTTTGCATTGTGTATTCTGACTCAGGAATAAACCTTTGGGTTATTCAGGGTTCAGACAGCATGACCAGACAACTGCATCTGTTGTATTTGCTGATTCACCTCTGAATGAGGGGTGGAGAGACGTTGTCCATTGGTTATGTGTGGCCTTGGATCATTGCTTCAGGGGTTCAGCACCCTAGCAGCCATCAAGGGGTGCTTAAGGCTGGGTTTACAGGAGACAGGTACAAACTAGCCATCCAGATTTCAGCTGAGTGTATTGTTAAGCTACTGTATCTGAGCTGAACACTAGATGGCATCCAAGAGATAGTATTTATCTCTTTGCTGCTGCATCTAGAGGTCATCTAGGGTTTTGCAATCTAGATAAGGCAGCATATGACTGTGTGATCCTGTTTTTGTGGCTAGTTTAAATTTCAGCCTTTTATGTGAACCCAGAAATTAGAACATGTCTATGTACCGTGGCAGCACAATCCCAAGTATATGCAGATCAAGAAAGGACAATTACTCCTCTTCACCTATCCATGTTTTTCCTTGTGCGAGCTTTCTAGAGCATGCAGAGGAAAGGGAAAACTTCAAATAAATATGGCAGTCTGATTTCTGAGATGCTCCCCAGGAAAACACCTGGGGAGAACTTCTGAATGTAACTTTTAAAGGTGCAAGTGTCTTTTCAGAACCTCAATTTTCTAACTCTGCATTCATGATTTCCTGCAGAAAAGAGCTGAAAGCAGCAAGAGGAAAGCTTTTATTTTTATTGTGCTTGGAAAGAGCAGGGCTCATGTGCCTTTTTAGATGAAATCGAATAATTGAGTCTTTCATCAATCCTACATCTCATGGCTGGGAAATATGCACCTGTTCAGCTTCCATCCAATCTAGAACTGCTAAGACACAAAAATTCTGCAAGAGGAATAAAGATGATGCCTTTGGCTCGTGGATTTTGACACAGAGAGAAAAAAAACGTATTTGTCAAGACTTGGGTTCCACATGCATGGAGCTAAATATTTTACACAATAAGACTTTCAAGGGCTAAAAGCCATCTTGTACATTTACACAGATAAAAGAGAAGAGGACTTGGGGATGTCAGCACTGAGATTAGAAGGATGGCTTGGGAAAAAATGTATATGATCAAGCCATATACTTCCCTAAAGTAAAATATTGCTATTCGTAGCAATTTGATCACATTAAGGAAGAAACAGAAATATTCTGCTTTGTGCAACACACACACACACATCTTGATACCAGCCCAGCATTTTATTCTCTATTAATAGTAAAGTTAAACAGAATGAAAGTTCAAATTTAAATCAAGTAGAGAGCTGCTATTGTGGGGGAAAAAATGGAATCTGCAACAAATGAGGCAGAGCCACAGTGCTGGTTTTGAGAGACACTAATGTTATTTTCTTAGTCTGCATCCTAGATTTTTGGTTGAATGGGGTAGGGGACAAGGGGATCCTAAGGGGAGGGGTTTAATGAACAAAAGAACCTGGGTTTTTTAAAAACAATTACAAGGAAATTGTTATTAATTACTATGGTTATTATTAATACAGTGTCCCAACCCCATCTCCCTCCTTGCAATGAGGAGGGATTGGGACAACAAAATATTATTTACTCTGTATTATACTGTAAATACAACTTCAATAAACTTTATTTCAAACAAAACAAGTTGGCATCGTTATGGCTACGGAATTCCCTGCTTGGTGGGATCCTAACAAATTCCAGAGTGGATAAGGCTACAAAAATCTACCCAATGGATAGGAATTTCTTTTAGCCCCAGGGCTGTAAGTATGGATCATAGAGAGCCAGTTTGATTTAGTGATTAAGGTACAGGCCTAAAAAACCAAGAAACGGGGGTTCTAGTTCCACCCATGAAAGCTGGCTGGGTGCCTTTGGGCCAGTCACTCACTCTCAGACCAACCCATAGGGCTGGAAGGAGGAAGGAGTTATGTTTGCTGCTTTAAGTTATGTATATGAATAAATGAAAGAAAAAAAAAATAAAAGAAAGAAAAAAGAGAAAGAAAGAAGTAGGCTATAAATAATAATAAAAAATAAGAGGTACCTTCTTTCATTGGTCCACTTATTCCAGGGCAGAACCAGCAGAATTTTGATTCTCTGTGGAGAAAATTTACAGAAGGCAGGAAAAGTGTTTCCCAAAATTGGAATGAGAAAGGATTACTGTTATCAGAAAAGGGAGAGTGGGATCTGGGTCAGTTGCGTGGGTTGGGGGACAGGGACCTTTGGGCTCTTGTCTAGGGGGACCCTTTCTCCGCAGAGCTCAGGGGAGCAGAAATCCAGAGAGGCTGGAGGTCCATCAACTTTCTCATTCAACGTAAGGGAGCATCAAGAACCACTCAGCCTCCTAGCAAATATAGAAGGGGTTAATGGTCACCATGGCAATGAGCTGGGAATGTGGTACCTTGGATGCACACGTGGCAACAGAGGAACTGGCAGAAATTGTGCCGCATAGAAGAACTGGGTGGGGATGGAGAGGGATAGGGAATCAGGAAGGAGGCAATTAATGTGGCACATCGAACGGGGAAGGTTTTTTTGGGGGGGGGGCGCAGGAGACTGAAGCCTTCCTTTGATGGGGGAAGAGAGGAGCAGCGGAAACCAAGCCAGAAAGATTACAATAGGAGATGGTGCCTGCAATTAGATGCAGGAAATGCAAGAGATTTGGGCTGAAAAAAGGAAGGGACAGATTTACAGAGAAAAAGACGATGGGATAAAGTTGGAGAACAACTGTTTCAGCAAACAGAGAAGGCGGGGGGAATAGAAAGAAAGAAAAAAGAAGAAAAACAGCAGGGATTGTGGGAAAGGAAAGGGCAGTTGGGAGATTTTTAGAAAGTGCAGGGATGGAGTTGTGGAGCAAAGCCGAACCTAAGAGTCTGCATAAGGGAAAGAAGTGGGAAAAAACCATTTTAAAATGGGTGGGCTAAAACAGGGTCTCCAACCTTGGCAACTTTAAGACTTGTGGGACTTCAGCTTTGCTGGCTGGGGAATTCTGGGAGCTGAAGTCCACAAGTCTTAAAGTTGCCAAGGTTAAAGACCCTTGGGCTAAAATGAAACAATACCAGAAAACAGGCCTGCCCTATCCAGTATTTTCTCTTTCTCTCTCTAGCAAGAAACCAAGACGAGAGAATGTAGATAAGGACATTAACTAAATTAAATAGGAAAAAAAAGGAAGGTTTAAATTTCCTAACCAGAGGGGGGGGGGAATAGGAAAATTGGGATGGAGGGGACATTTGTCAAAGATTGCTGCAGATAATAACTGGTCATTTCTACCTAACCAGGAAGATCTGGAAAAAATGGCTAACTCCAGGTCCCAGTTGTGAAGCTTTGTCATTTTATGAGTGTAAATGCTGCTAACATTGGATGTTTTTGCATTGACAGCAGATGGAAATGTAGCCATCTTTTACCTTTTCCTTTTAGAGTTAAATGATGCTGGGAGGGGGGATGTGAACGAGAGTCTAGCTAGACAACAACACTAAACCTAGTGTGAGAAACAAGGTTATTGTAACCAGAGCTGATAAGGAATTGGCAGGCTGGAGAACTGGAGAGGAAGGTGCTTCAAGCTAATTGGGGAATGTGATTTATGACAGTTAATTGGAGGAGAGAATTTTGTTTTGATACTATATGCTCAGGGGAGGGGAATTCAGTTTTTGGCTTCAATTATTCAGCACTGATGTTATGCTACTCAAGATAAAAATTCTTTAAGGTAAACAATGCCTCGAAGTTCTTTTGAAGAGTTTCATCTGTCGGAACCATGACAATGGGATGTCACAATGTGCCTTTTGTGTCACTTCCCCTGTAGAAATAGCATTCCCCACCTCAGCCCTATGCCTATGTGGCTCTGACGCTCCATGGCAGCAGTGTCCAGCCTTGACAACTTTAAGACTTACGGACTTCAAATTTTAGAATTTCTAGAATTCCTCAGTCATGATGGCTGGCTGGGGAATTCTGGGAGTTGAAGTCCACAGATCATAAAGTTGCTAGTGTTGGACACAAAGTTGTTCAGCTCAAGAAGGTATAAAAACCCACCACATTATCCAATCTAGAGAAGGAGTTGGAGCTGGTGTAAAACATGCCTCCAAAATGTTCCAGAGAATTTCAAAATACTCCATACTTCCTCAAGCAGAGGGCAGTCCAGTGGTAAAAGCATCAGGAAACTAGGAGATGGTGAGCTGTAGTTCTGCCTTGGCATGAAAACTGGCTGGATGACTTTTAGTCCAACCCACCTCACAGGGTTGTTGTGGGGAAAATAAGAGGAGGAAGGGGTATTGGGTATGTTTGCTGCTGTTGGAAGAAAAATCTTCATCAGGGTCCAGTCCAAGCTGGGAATAAACAAAATGGAGACTGCTTAGAAAGAAGGTTGTAGTTTATTGAAGAGGAGAGCCAGACACAAAGATGGCTCTGGGAAAGCTGACCACATGTAGCAGGGAGTGGTGGGTTTTTATACCTTCTTGAGCTTTTGTTTGGAGTAGTTCCTGTGGCATGAACTTTGACCTGAGTCTGAGTGTGCCTTTCTGGTATTCTGATTGTGGTGGGTTAATCCTATTATGTCCCAAAGGACATATCCTGCTTCCCTGTGGCTGTGGCTGATGACTATGTCCTTTGTTGGATTTTTTTGGTGAGGGATTGTTGATTTTTGAGATCTTTGTCTTTCTAATCCAAGCTTCCTGCCTCCAATTTTTCTGACAAGATTATCACATCTGCATTTCTGCAGTCCTGGTTTCTGTTTGGGGCAGAGAGACTTGGGGGCAGGGGGTTCTGCCTTTAAGATCCTTTGGGGAAATAGAATATTCTGCCTTTTAATGTTCCCCAAAATATTTCTTTTGGAGGGGGGGCTGACTTCCCACACTGCCTTGAGTTGTTTATAAAAATAATAAAGTTATGATTAAAAGCAACCTGACTTCTACAAAGCTATCCCAAAGGTGCATTTTCAAAAGGCAACTGGACTTTGTTTTTTCCTTAAAGATATTTCACTTCTCATCCAAGACGCCTCTTCTTCAGAAGCTTCTTATTGGATGAGAAGCGAAGCATCTTCAAGAAAAAATGAAATCCAATTGCTTTTTGAAAAAGCACCTTTGGGATAACCATGACCTGGATGACTGAGAATCTCCTCTAGATATTCTGCAAAGCTACTTCAGAACATTATATAGCAGCAGGATGCACAGGGTCTGGAGGAAGAATGGAAGAACCCGGAGTTCCCCCAAATATTCTATCTTTAGAGAGAAAACATTTTGCAGATATTGCACACAACAAGACAGACACAAAGGAATAACTGTTATGATTATACCATTCAGTGATCAGAATCTAACTGATCTTACTAGTAAAATAACTGCAACCTTGGTTAAGCAAGAAACCAGCTACAAGGCACCTTGTATACTTCCTATTCCTTCAAAAACAGTTAAAGTCAAGTCATCACCACATTAGCTGCCACCAAGTTCACAAGTTAATCAACACTCACTCTCCCTGACTTACCCCATCAGAGAACAGAAAAGAGGCATTCAAATCCTGCATCGCTGATCCATTTGAGATTTAATTCTGTGTGCATTTGGCTGGGAGTTCACCAAAATATCGAAATGTTGGGAGTGGCAGAGGAACGGAGGCACATTTTTTTTTCTGGTTTTGAATTTGAAATAAAAACATCTCAGAATGATGTTTTCTGCAAGAGACTTCATCTATGGAAAGTGGGACGAGGCAAAACTGAGTTCAGGAGCTGGGGAGCAGGATGGTGTGAGACAGTGATTCTCAAACCTCACACTTTTAAGAAGCGTGAGTTTCAACTCTCAGAATTTCCCAGCCAGAATGAGGAAGTTGAAGTCCGCCCATCTTAAAGTTGAAGTCTAGCCATCTTAAATTTGCCAGGTTTGAAGAGTTATCATCATCATCAGAGTTGGAAGGGACGTTGGAGATCTTCTAGTCCAGTGGTTCTCAACCTGTGGGTCTGGACACCATTTGGGGTCAAACGACCATTTCACGGGGGTCGCCAAACAACGCAGTCCGCCATTTTTTCCCCCTTTTCCTTAGCTGTGCTACTCCCTTTTATTCTATTGGCTTTTGAAAGCCAATAAAATAGACTCTCTCGAATAGAGACTAATTCTATTGGCTTTCAAAAGCCAATAGGAATTGTCCAGGCTGTCTCTGCCCTGCTGAGCCTGCCAAAAGTCCTATTCTGCAAATGGTGCTGTGCCTGTTGAGTAGTCCTTGACTTAACGACCAGTTGAGTAGTCCTTGACTTACGACCGGTTGGGGGTCGCGGCATTAAAAAGGTTGAGAACCACTGTTCTAGTCCAACCCCTTCCTCCTATACCATTTCAGACAAATGGCTGTCCAGTCTCTTAAAAATCTCCAGTGATGGAGCACCTACAGTGCCTAAAGGCAAACTGTTTCACTGGTTGATTATTCTCACTGTCAGGAAATTTCTCCCTAGTTCTGAGTTGCTTATCTCCTTGGTTAGTTTCTATCCATTGTTTCTTCTTTTGCCTGCTGGTGCTTTGGAAAATAGGTCAACCCCTTCTTCTTTCTGGCAGCCCCCCAAATAATGGAACGCTGCTATCATATCACCCCTAGTCCTTCTTATCATTAAACTAGGCCAGTGATGGCGAACCTTTTAGAGACTGAGTGCCCAAACTGCAACCCAAAACCCACTTATGCATCTTCGGGTGCCAGGTGGGTGTGGCCCATTGGGTGGATGTGGCTGCGGTGGTAACGGCAGATTGGGTGGGACTAAAAAGTTCAATCAATCAATTCCAACTTTGCAAGATCTTTTTTTTCCCACATGAAGTTGAAATTGACTGATTGAACCTTTTTTTTTTCTTTGCACACGGCAGCGGAGGTCTAAAATGAAAAGGTTTTATAAAACCCAGCTGAAGGCCTAGGACTGGGGCGATGGCATGCGTGCCCACAGAGAGGGCTCTGTGTGCCGCTTCTGGCACCCGTGCCATAGGTTCGCCACAACTGAACTAGGCATACCCAATTCCTGCAATCGTTCCTTATATGTTTTAGCCTCTAGCTCCCTAATCATCTTAGTTGCTCTTCTTTGAACCCTTTCCAGAGTCTTGACATCTCATTTAATATTTATATTCTTTATATTTATGTTTATATGTATGTTTTTATTTATATTTATATGAAATCCACCTGTCTTAAAGTTGCCAAGCTTGAGAAACAATGATATGACAGCTCCCACTAATGGGAACCCAGTTTGTTGAGCTTCAACATCTCAAGAGGGAATTCACATTAAGAAAGAGTAGGGAGGCAGTCATGTGAAACAAGAAGGAAAAAGACGAGAACGTCTGATATTGGGAGCAACTCAAAAGATCCTACACAGAAATGTCCATGGATGGCATAGGACAGGTTTTCTAGCTTGCACTTGCAGGTAAGAAAGTGGGCTTATTCTACAGGTAGTCCCTCCACTTACAACCATT